AGCGACAGTATGAAAACGACATAGCATCGAAAGTCAAATCTGACTCGAAACTGCTGTATAGCCACATTAGGAGGAAGACAACAGTCAAGGACCAGGTGATAAGGCTGAGGAAAGAAGGTGGAGAACTCACAAGAAACGATCAAGAGGTATGTGAGGAGCTCAACACGAGATTTAAGGAAGTATTTACAGTAGAGACAGGAAGGACTCTGGGGGGACAGATCAGATGGGGACACCAGCAAGGAATACACCAACAAGTGTTGGACGACATACATACAGATGAGGAGGAGGTGAAGAAACTGCTAAGGGACATCGATACCTCAAAGGAAATGGGACCGGACAACATCTCCCCGTGGGTCCTTAGAGAGGGAGCAGATATGTTGTGCGTGCCACTTACCACAATCTTCAACACGTCTCTGGAAACTGGGCAACTACCTGAGGTATGGAAGACGGCAAATGTAGTTCCCATTTTTAAAAAAGGAGACAGAAAAGAGGCACTAAACTATAGACCTGTGTCATTGACGTGTATAGTATGCAAAGTTATGGAGAAGATTATCAGGAGGAGAGTGGTGGAGCACCTGGAACGGAACAAGAGTATAAATGCCAACCAGCACGGATTCATGGAAGGCAAATCCTGTGTCACAAACCTTCTGGAGTTTTATGATAAAATAACAGAAGTAAGACACGAGAGAGAGGGGTGGGTTGATTGCATCTTCTTGGACTGCAAGAAGGCCTTTGACACAGTTCCTCACAAGAGATTAGTGCAGAAGCTAGAGCATCAGGCGCATATAACAGGAAGGGCACTGCAATGGATCAGAGAATACCTGACAGGGAGGCAACAACGAGTCGTGGTACGTAATGATGTATCGCAGTGGGCACCTGTGACGAGCGGGGTCCCACTGGGGTCGGTCCTAGGACCAGTGCTATTTTTGGTATATGTGAACGACATGATGGAAGGGTTAGACTCAGAAGTGTCCCTGTTTGCAGATGATGTGAAGTTAATGAGGAGAATTAAATCTGATGAGGACCAGGCAGGACTTCAAAGAGACCTGGACAGACTGGACACCTGGTCCAGCAAATGGCTTCTCGAACTTAATCCTGCCAAATGCAAAGTCATGAAGATAGGGGAAGGGCAAAGAAGACCACAGACAGCGTATAGGCTAGGTGGCCAAAGACTGCAAACCTCACTCAAGGAGAAAGATCTTGGGGTGAGTATAACACCGAGCATGTCTCCGGAAGCACACATCAATCAGATAAAATGCTGCAGCATATGGGTGCCTGGCAAACCTGAGAACAGCATTCCGATACCTTAGTAAGGAATCATTCAAGACACTGTACACCGTGTAGGTCAGGCCCATACTGGAGTATGCAGCACCTGTTTGGAACCCGCACTTGATAAAGCACGTCAAGAAACTAGAGAAAGTACAAAGGTTTGCGACAAGGTTAGTTCCGAGCTAAGGGGAATGTCCTATGAAAGAAAGATTAAGGGAAATTGGCCTGACGACACTGGAGGACAGGAGGGTCAGGGGAGACATGATAACGACATATAAAATACTGCGTGGAATAGACAAGGTGGACAAAGACAGGATGTTCCAGGGAGGGGACACAGAAACAAGAGGCCACAATTGGAAGTTGAAGACACAAATGAGTCAGAGAGATAGTAGGAAGTATTTCTTCAGTCATAGAGTTGTAAGGCAGTGGAATAGCCTAGAAAATGACGTAGTGGAGGCAGGAACCATACACAGATTTAAGACGAGGTTTGATAAAGCTCATGGAGCGGGGAGAGAGAGGGCCTAGTAGCAACCGGTGAAGAGGCGGGGCCAGGAGCTAGGACTCGACCCCTGCAACCACAAATAGGTGAGTACAAATAGGTGAGTGAGTACACACACACACACACACACTCACACACACACACACACACACACACACACACACACACACACACACACACACACACACACTCACACACACACACACACACACACACACACACACACACACACACACACACACACACACACACACACACACACACACACACACACACACACACACACACACACTCAAGGAAACATCTCCCATTTTTTCACACAATTGAGTTCATTCACTGTAAATTCACTTACATTTACAAAATAAAACACCTTATTTTCAATCACACAAACACCTCGGGTGTGTGGCCAACTATTCCAATCATTGCCAGCAAAGCACAGTGCTGTTTTTTCTTAGTATGATACAGAAATTTACAATTTCCAGCAAATGTATCGAACTATTGATAATATGTTTCTATATATATTTATATATATATTTATATATATATATATATATATATATATATATATATATATATATATATATATATATTATATATATATATAATATATAATATATATATATATATAACGTACGCAATCAACATGTACACACAAACAATACTCCAAACATTCACAAACACAAAAACAACATCCAAACATTCACAAACACAAAACAACACTCCAAACATTCACAAACACACAAACAACACTACAAACATTCACAAACACCAAACAACACTACAAACATTCACAAACACACAAACAACACTCCAAACATTCACAACACACAAACAACACTCCAAACATTCACAAACACACAAACAACACTCCAAACATTCACAAACCCACAAACAACACTCCAAACATTCACAAACACACAAACAACACTCCAAACATTCACAAACACACAAACAACACTCCAAACATTCACAAACCCACAAACAACACTCCAAACATTCACAAACACACCAAACAACACTCCAAACATTCACAAACCCACAAACAACACTCCAAACATCACAAACACACAAACAACACTCCAAACATTCACAAACCCACAAACAACACTCCAAACATTCACAAACCACAAACAACACTCCAAACATTCACAAACACACAAACAACACTCCAAACATTCACAAACCCACAAACAACACTCCAAACATTCCACAAACCACACAAACAACACTCCAAACATTCACAAACACACAAACAACACTCCAAACATTCACAAACACACAAAACAACACTCCAAACATTCACAAACACACAAACAACACTACCCAAAAATTCACAAACACACAAACAACACCCAAACATTCACAAACACACAAACAACACTCCAAACATTCACAAACACACAAACAACACTCAAACATTCACAAACACACAAACAACACTCCAAACATTCACTAACACACAAACAACACTCCAAACATTCACAAATCCAGCAAAACCTCATTAATTGTCGAACTTTTGATTATATTTTAAAGTAATGTTCTCAAGGTAATTATTGTGGCAGACCTGACCACCTGTGGTGAGGGTTATTACTTTATTACCTTTATATACCCTTCTAGTGAAAGTAATTATTACCTTTATATACCCTTCTAGTGAAGGTAATTATTACCTTTATATACCCTTCTAGTGAAGGTAATTATTACCTTTATATACCCTTCTAGTGAAAGTAATTTTTACCTTTTTTATATCCTTCTAGTAAAAGTAATTATTCCCTTTATATACCCTTCTAGTGAAAGTAATTATTACCTTTATATCCCCTTCTAGTGAAAGTAATTTTAAAACCTTTATATACCCTTCTAGTAAAAAGTAATTATTACCTTTATATACCCTTCTAGTGAAAGTAATTATTACCTTTATATATCCTTCTAGTGAAAGTAATTATTACCTTTATATACCCTTCTAGTGAAGGTAATTAAATTCCCTTTTTATATACCCTTCTAGTGAAGGTAATTATTACCTTTATATACCCTTCTAGTGAAAGCAATTATTACCTTTATATATCCTTCTAGTGAAAGTAATTATTACCTTTATATACCCTTCTAGTGAAAGTAATTATTACCTTTATATACCCTTCTAGTGAAAGAAATTTATTACCTTTATATACCCTTCTAGTGAAAGTAATTATTACCTTTATATACCCTTCTAGTGAAAGTAATTATTACCTTTATATACCCTTCTAGTGAAAGTAATTATTACCTTTATATATCCTTCTAGTGAAAGTAATTATTACCTTTATATACCCTTCTAGTGAAGTAATTATTACCTTTATATATCCTTCTAGTGAAATTTAATTATTACCTTTATTACCCTTCTTGAAAGTAATTATTACCTTTATTACCCTTCTAGTGAAAGTAATTATTACCTTTATATACCCTTCTATGAAAGTAATTATTACCTTTATATATCCTTCTAGTGAAAGTAATTATTACCTTTATATACCCTTCTAGTGAAAGTAATTATTACCTTTATATATCCTTCTAGTGAAAGTAATTATTACCTT